AAACCTGTTTAATACAGGCAAAACAAGAAAAAGCAGAGAATGTAATGCTTAGAGCAGAGAACGAAGCTCTTAAGACAGAGAATCAAAATCTTCAGTCTGATCTAAAAAGCCTTTCTTGCTCTTCTTGCGGCAGCTCCGGCGACAAACTCCTCCTCGAAAACTCCCGTCTCCGCGAAAAGGTTTTATCTTTTTATTCGAATGAATCGAATTCTAACCGTTGATGTATTTCAATTACTAAATCAAAACGGCTTTATTAAATGTTTTTTGTAGCTTATTCTGTTAGAGAGCATTGCTTCGTTCATGAATCCTCCTCTGCCTCTTTCTCAAGGCACTGTTTGTTTCTTCCCGGAGACTAAAGAAAACAACGATTTGTCTTCGATTGCGGAAGAAGATAAGGCGGTTGTGATGGCTTTTGCGGTTTCTTGTGTTCAAGAATTAGTGAAGATGTGTTACACTAATGAGCCTTTGTGGTATGAGAAGAGATTAGAGAACAAAGAGAGTTTGTTGTATCTTAACGAAGAAGAGTACAAGGAGTTGTTCTTATGGCCTCCAATGGAGAAATATCGTTTTCGCAGAGAAGCTTCAAGAGCTAATGGAGTTGTCTTCATGAACAGCATAACTCTTGTCAATGCATTTCTTGATGCAGTAAGAAAGAGTTTAAATTACATTTCTTGAATTACATTTTCAAAAGTACATAACTAACATTTATGTGTTTTAACATTTGCTTGAAAGGATAAATGGTCGGAGATGTTCTGTTCAATAGTGTCAAAAGCCAAAATGATTCAGATCATTTCTCCTGGAGTTTCTGGAGCAAGTGGCTCTCTTATTCTGGTGAGTAATCAAATAGTAACATATAAGAGAAGTTATTAAATTGTAACATAATGGAATATGTTTTTGTCTGTTCAGATGTATGCAGAGTTACAAGTTCTATCTCCACTGGTACCAACAAGAGAAGGATATTTTCTTCGGTACGCGGAACACAACAAAGAACAAGGAAAATGGATGATTGTAGATTTCCCGATCGATCGTTTTCACGGTTTGATCAAACCAGCTTCAGCTGCTACTTCTACTGATCAGTACCGGAGAAAACCTTCTGGTTGCATCATTCAGGACATGCCTGACGGATACTCTCAAGTCACGTGGGTAGAGCACGTGGAAGTGGAGGAGAAGCACGTGCACCACGAGATGGTTCGAGAGTATGTTCAGAGCGGTGCTGCCTTTGGTGCTGACCGGTGGCTAGCTGTGTTACAGAGACAGTGTGAGAGAATGGTTAGTCTTATGGCTACAAACATAACTGACCTTGGAGGTAAACCTAACTTATTCTTCAAGTAAACCTAAAACTTCAACAATCGATGTGATTCGTTCTCTGTTTTCCTCTCAGTGATTCCATCTGCAGAAGCAAGGAAGAACTTGATGAGGCTCTCGCAGAGAATGGTGAGATCGTTCTGTCTGAATATAAGCGATTCGTACAGACAATCACTGTCTGGATCAATAAAGGACACAGTGAGAATCACGAGCAAGAAAGTTTGTGATGGTCTTCTGCTATGTGCCGTTTCAACCACGCTTCTTCCTTTTTCTCATCTTCGAGTCTTTGATCTTCTCCGCGATGATCATCGTCGCTCTCAGGTCAAACCCCATGATCTTCTTCCTCTGTTTCTTTCGTTTTCAAGAATCCGAAAAAATCGAGAATTTGAAATCTATTTCTTACTGAAAGCAGGAGATTTTGTTCAATGGGAATTCAATTCAAGAACTTGCTCATATCGCTAATGGATCACATCCCGGAAATTGCATCTCTCTGCTTCGTAACAATGTGAGTGATTTCGCATTAAATTTCAAAACTTTACCAAAAAAACCAACAATAAAATTTCGAAGTTAAATTCAAAAGTTTAATTTTTTTATATGTAATTTTCACAGGTAGAGTTAATGCTTCAAGAAACTAGCACTGATAACTCCGGCAGTCTTGTTGTTTACTCCACCGTCAACGCCGTTCAGCTCGCTATGTACGGCGAGGATCCTTCTAAGATTCCTCTTTTACCCTTCGGAGCCTCTATTGTTCCGGTGAATCCATCCGAGGGTATTTTCATCAATGCGCCTTCTTGTTTGCTCACTGTTGGGATTCAGGTCCTGACGAGCAATGTCTCCGACGCAAGATTCGACCTTTCCACCGTCTCCGCCATCCACAACCGTGTTTGCTCCACCGTAAACCAGATCACATCCGCCCTCGGAAGCTCCGGCGTTGGTAATTAGTGCGAAGGTTTGGAGGGTATTTTTGGTAAATATTGCAACTTAAAACTATATTTTGTTTTTTGGTGGGAAAGCTGATTTAGGTAGATAAACCGATGGTAAATTTGAACCCGTAAGAAGGGTAAAACATGAAATTAGCTTTGAAATTTTTTAGGGGAAGTCAAGAACGCACCAAGGCAGATAAAATGCATGTGAAACCTGGTTTTCATGGCTGGTTCGGGTATTGACTTCCAAAACTTTCATGAACTAAACCGTTTGATATTATGGCTTTTGTTGATGTTGCAATCTAATGCTCTTTCTTTTTGTTACTTTACTTCTTATGGTTTTGAAAATAGCTTAAAATATATGCAAAAATTAGTAGGATACAAAATATCCTGGAAAAAACGGTGATTCTAGATAATAAAATTGTGGATCAGGATAGAAATACTTTAATTTTCCCCGATATATGGTCCGTTTTTTCATCATTAGTATAGGCATACTTCACATCCCAAGAAAAGGATTGATTGAGTCTCATTAACTTGGAATTTGCAATAATAAACAGTGATATATATATTCATATACTCCCTACACACCAAAAACTAAGACCTCTTAAAGCATTTGCTTACAACTTTAGTCTTTGTACTGGTTTTCAATTACTTTACTACCAGCAAAGCAAATTTAATAGCTAAAAAGAGTGGTAGGTCTTTTCCTATCCAATTATTTACATTATTTTTTAATACTTGTAGAACAATTATTATCGAGGCATGGAACCAAAAGAAAAAAACTTATATCTTCCCCACAGCATTTAAAATGTGATTTTTTTTTTTTTTCATTTTCATACAATTCGCAAAACACATTTTAATCAAATTAAAAGGGATATTGCATTGGATGTATGGTTCACAAGATTATTAGTATATAGTTTTCATTTTTATTAAATGGCACACGTATAAGTAGCTAGACTTTGGTTTTTTTTTTTTTTTAACTTTTGTTCACTTCCCTTGTATTCATTTTTTAGTTGAAGTTAACGAGCAACTCTTTTGTCCGAATTTAAATGTGGGTGCTTACTAAAATTCCCAAAGTTTTAGATTTGCTCAAAAATCTCCCAAAGAGATTCGTGGGGGCAATTATTCTAACAAGCTCCAAATCATTTTCCTCTACACCTTTATAAAAGATTGATTGTGCTTCCCACTTTTTCATTCCAATCAATATATTTCCTATTGTACTTCTTCTTTTCACATTTTGAAGGATTTTCCGTTTGGAGGATTAGGTGCAAGTTTATCATAAAGGTAAGAAAATTAATGTGAGAGTAGGACACTATCGGATTAAAAGTTATAAAACTCGTTAAGTTATTTGTTCGTTTCATCTCTATATTTTTCTGTATTTTGTTCGTATGTTTTCGATATAAAAATTTTGTGATAGAGAAATGTACTCATTTTGTGATAGAGAAATGTACTATATACGTGTACTCATTTTGTGAACTCATGTACGTATAACCTCAGCAAATAAAGAAAAGAAAAATAAGAATCTAACATTTACATACTTATTAATTTAGGTCTTAATTAT